TGAGGAATGTCAAGAGGTTTACCATGGGTGAATGATTTTGTTTCTCTTCCTCGATTGATGTTTCTTGTTCATTTGATCCAGCAGCAGAAGTAACAGGTGACGTGCAACTATTTGGGAGGCTCGAGAGAAACGAACTCATCGTGTCCGAACCAAATGCAGATAGAACAGATGTTGGTGACCCATTCCCTTGTTCAGAGCCAGATAAAATAGGTGACGAGGACCTTCCTAGTTTGCCTATATTGAGCGTTCCATTGTTTGAAGAGGTCCCAAATTTACGAGGATAAGGATGCACTGGCTTCCTCTTAGGCCGAGGAGGAGGTATCTCAATTGGCTTTACCTTGCCTGCACCATTTGCTGTCGATTCCTTCACCACCTGCTACACTAAATACAGCTCATGAAAATAATAACAGAATTGTTCATAAATCTAAACGAACACTCCAAGAAATCCCTAAGTAGTTAGTTATAAAAGAGGAAAGGACCTTAGTGAAGAACTTTTGAGCATGACTTCTAATCTGAACAGCGGTCTTCGTACCTACGTGCTCTGCAGTAAAAAAAAAATTTCAAGTCAGAATCAGCAACAAGCCTACATAATTGTAGAGATAACGATGACGGTATTTCTCAGAATCACAGCATATATACCTTCGATACGTCTCCATGCTCGGCCATACAACCGCAGAGCTTCAAGAAATTTATGGTGCTCTTCTTCTGTCCACCTCTCCCTCTGCTTTGTGATTGTGTAAGGTTTCCTAACCTAAGGGAGGTTGAAGGAAACAAGAAAATAAGCTTCATTGGTGCTCTATTAAAGTTTGGATTGCTACAAAGAGGTTTGCATTGTAATGAAACCTTGGGGGCAAATACATCTCTTGATGAATGATTCTCCTCTGACTGGACTCCATTTATTGATGGAGTTTCGAGGGAAAAAGATTCCATATCCGTACTTACGTTATGCTCCTACTGAAGAACAACATACAGTTCATGTCAGCAATTGAATTGAAGAAATAGCTAACACGACGCATGTTTTCGGAAATTAAAAGAATTACAAATCATACGATTCGAGCTAAGATGATACCATAAATTAGGGGTTGTAGACACTACGATTTCAAGGACTGATTCGATGCACCCTAAATTATCCGTGACACGTTTCTAAGATTCCAATCACGGTGAACCTTTGTTTTTTTTTTTAATTGCCGATAGCGACCTTTGTTTTTCAATTGCTATAACAATCTATAAATTTAATTTGGATTATACAAATTAAATAGGCGTATTGGTTTGCTCACACACAAACGCATGAGTTTGCTGTGGTTGAAACTTTACTGTGCCCGTCTATACACGTAGATTTGAGAAGATGTTCAACGTTAGAAGGGTCCGAATTGTTTTCTGGATCTAAGTGGGACCCACTGGAGACACTCCACGATAACGCCTCCGATTTAATTTGGTTAAATTGCACTCAAATGCCCTGTAGTTTCACCGACATTGCATTTAATACTGGGTAAATAAATATCCAAAGTATCTACATGTTGCAGATCATTGCCAAAGTTCAAAAAAAATCCAGATGGCGTTGACTTTTCTTTATGTATCCAAAAATTCACATAACACATGATGTCAAAGTGCAACTTTTGGAAACTTAAGGGTATCACAGTGAGGTTTTTTTATAAACCGAGGGTACTTATATGCAACATTTGGTAAACAAGAGGATAGAAAAGTGCTTTGAGGCATTTATACGTAACATTTAAGTACTATGAATGACGCATTTTTTGCTCGGTTTTGAAATTAGAGTCACTTAAGAGCATTTAGGTGCAATTTAGTCATTTAATTTGTACTCTAAGGCAAAAAAAAATCAAATTTTACCACAAAAAATTGCATAATTTGCTGCTACTTTTTACAGTTAAACTGTGACTAATTATCACTCCATTAGAACATAGCAGTAAAGAAGGGTATATATCAAATTCTTACTTATCCATCTCTTTATGGGGGAAAAACTATTTTTCACAGGATTTCCCTCAAAATTAGAAATTGTGCAATTCTTTATTAATTCCTAATTGAAATTTTAGAGAGAGAAACCTGGCACCAAACCAAGAGGGGAAAAAAAATCAATGAACCTCTACCAAATAATTGATTTCGAACTGAAAATTTTTGAGATTAACGGCAAAAAAAAAAAATTCAGTACCTGAATGCCCATTCCAAGCAACCTTCTTAACTCTCCACTTCAACTAGAGGACTGAATTTATAAATAAATAAATAAAAAGTGCAAAAATAACTAAATCGGGTCAAAAAAATCTTAGGATTTCAAGATCCAAACCCGATACCAAAACAAGAGAGAATAGGGGGGAGAGGGAGAGAGAGAGAGAGAGATGACGGAGAGAGCAAATGGGAGAGAAGAGAGGGAGAGGGGGCAAAAAAAGGAGAGGGTCGCCACGTCAGACACCGCTGGACCCAAGAGAATTCGAGAAACCTGTTGAATCCTGTGGCTGACAATTGACGACACATGGGACACGTGGCGCTCCCTGTCGTCTATAGCCACCCGGATTTTAATTTGAGCTTTTGCTTTAATCGGGTGATTAAGAGCGAAGAACGGATTAATTAAAAAAAAATCTCACAAATATTATAATAAATTCCAGTAAAAGGCTCTCCCTACAAAATCATCATGAATTCAAAGTCAATATAACTAGTATACTATATATTAACACAATAAATATCAGTACAATCAATATCATTGAAAACAAAATAGTTTATCCGTGTGATCGCAATTTTCAACATGTAGTAATATTTATCATGATTTGTTTTCAATAGAACTTTTTTTCCCTTTTCCACTCACTCTCTTGTGAGAAAGAAATTACAGAGGGAACACTAGGTAAAAAAATTATATAGTAAAAAGAGACAACATGAAATATGCATTGAGATTTATTTTAGATTAATAATGGCATTAGTTTGTACTGTTTACCTTAATTGCTTCAATACTTTGTACTTAGATATGATTTTAGTGGTTTCATAATGGAAGACTTTTTCTCTTCATGTACTATGATGTTTAGCTGTTAAGTAGCAATTAGAGGTGGGTTAGAAAAATAGGAGTGACAATAAAAAGCGACTAACTAAAGTACACGGTTTAATATATAGTTCATCCGTTCAGGTGGTTTTACACAAAAGGACTTAAATTTGTGTTATTACAGTTGAATTCCTTCCCAAAGCAACCGCAGTCAGCCAAGTGTTAGGTCACCTCTGAGGAATCTGCTCATATTTCTCTTGACCGTCATATTTTTAAGTTTACTTGGTCCCATGTTTAATTTGCTTTTGACTGCCATAACACAAGACTTAATTTTCAATTTGAGTTGGGTAATATAATGTTATTAGATTAGTACGAATGTAAAAGTTTTTTGCACTTAAAATATTTTTCTACATAAATTTGCGGACGTATACATGTTAACTTAGAAAACATAATACTACCATAACACAAGAAGTTATTGTTTTTTTATAAAGATTGAGATTTACTTCAAACGAAAGGGAAGCAAGAGTTTGAATGATTAGAAATCTGCGGGCGACTCCAAATTCACTTGAAATAAGAGTACGAGGCCCACCCTCATCATCTTCCACATTTATGGTGCTTAAATAGCCATAAATATAAACAAGTGAAGAGCAAAGCGGATAAATTTTAGTAGTTCCTAATCCTGGCATATACACCCCCAAGCGATTTCTACGCACTAAAATATGCTGCTCCGAGAGAGACAGCGCGCCGCCCCGGGCCCTCGGGCGGCTCTTTTGTGGCTCCTGGGCCAGGGCCCGGCCGGCCCGGATGTAGGTTTTTAATTTTTAGTTTCTATTTTTATGTATTATATTATATATGTATATACTAAATATATATAATATGATATATATTGTATATATAATATATTTTATATTAGTTATAATATATGTATATATATTAGATATATGATTAATCAACATATTTCTATATATGTATAACTAAGTCATATGTGTGTATATAATACTCTCCTTAGTATATAACGTATATTAAGTATACTCTCTCTTATGTAAGATATATATGTATAAGTATATAAGTATACTTTCCTCTTATATAAGATATATCATAAGAAATACTCTCTCTTATATCTTTTATAATTAGCATGTATGTATCATATATATCCTCCTTTAGTATATATGTATATATAAGCTATAACTCTCTCTTATATATGTAACTCTCTCTATATAATTATATTTCTATATATGGTATAATATGTCATATGTGTAAGTGTATATGATATAGCTCTTCTTAGTATAAATAAGTATATATAAGATACTTCCTCTTCTTACTGTAAGTATATATTATATATATATAATAATTAGTAAATATAAAGTTAATAATATAAGAGTATACTTTCTCTTATATAAGTATATATATATATATCGATACTTACCCTTTAAAAGCACGAGTTCGGAAAAATCTTTTATTTTTTTTAGACAAATATGCCCGGCTTTATAGTTGAACATCTATCATAATCAAATTCTAAATTTCAATGGTCAATATTACCCTTACACTATTTTGAATCATTTTATTTATATCTTTCAAATCTAATCGCTAAGCATCAATCATGATCTTATCCTAATCCTATGTGAACCATGTTTAGCTTAACAATTAAAAAAAACTAAAATATTAATAAAATATATAAAACATAAAAAGTTTTATAATATTAGTTTGTTAAGATAAAGAAATTACAAGTAGATAACATATTATAATACATGAAGTATTGTAAAAAAACCATAAAAAGTTTTAAAATTGCAGAAAAGACCCTAAAAAGTTCAAAATTATAAAACTCATCCAAATGTCTCAAAACTTAAAATAAAAAACATGAAATTAAAAAATTAACATCAGTTTGCAAAGAATTTAAAATTTACAGTTAACACCTCAATGTCTTAAAAATTATAGAAACACCCTCAAAAGTTTAAATTACAAACAAGCACATTAAAATTCTCAAAAGTTTAAATTACAAACAAGCACATTAAAATTCTAAAATTTTAAAACTTACAAACAACACAGATGCATTCAAGAGATTATCATGATACACATAAAATTTTTGACATTTAAATTTAAATTTTTTAATTAACACCCTCAATATCTCAAAAATTATAGAAACA